AGGAAAGAGGGGCGGAGAGGGAGGGAGGAAGAGAGGAGGGAAGGGAGGAAGGAAGGAAGGAAGGAAGGAAGGAAGGAAGGAAGGAAGTCTGCCTGAAAGGAAGAATAGGAAAAAAAAGGAAAGAAGGGCTGAGAGGGAGGGAGGGAGGGAGGAAGGAAGGAAGGAAGGAAGGAAGGAAGGAAGGAAAGATGTCTGCCTGAAAGGAAGAATAGGAAAACAAAGGACAGAAGGGCTGCGAGGGAGGGAGGGAGGGAGGGAGGAAGGAAGGAAGGAAGGAAGGAAGGAAGGAAGGAAGGAAGGAAGGAAGGAAGGAAGTCTGCCTGAAAGGAAGAATAGGAAAACAAAGGACAGAAGGGCTGAGAGGGAGGGAGGAAGGAAGGGAAGAAGGAAGGGAAGAAAGGAAGAGTAAGGAGGTAAAGAAAGAAGGAAGGAAACAGACAAAGGAAGGAGAGGATGCAGTCTCTGTCTCAAACTTTAGTCCATCATACCTGAATAAACAAACTGATTTTATTCCAGATTTTGGTCTAGTTAAATCACATCACTCCATTTCTTCTCCTCCAGACGAGCGTTACCTGTTTTTCTTGGCTTCCCCTTCATCGCTGGATGAGGAAGAGGAGGACTGGGAGCTTCGTCCTTTCTCTGGCTTCCTGTTGAGAAGGAAACAGTTTGATGAGGAAACCAACGGATCCAAAACACCCGTCAGTTCCTCAGCTGCTCCTGCTCACCCTTTGCCCTGCTCCGCCTCTGAGTCAGAGCTGTCTGAAGACGAAGACGAGGATGACGAAGAGGAGGACGATGATGAAGACGAGGAGGATGAAGAGGAGCTGGAGCTGCTGCTCCTGCTGGCCTTCTCCTTCCCGTTCACAGCAGCATCCTTCCTGGTGGCTGTCGGTGACTGCTTCCCTTCGGGACCAGCTGTTGGCTGCCTGCCTTCTGATTGGCTGACGGCCGGCGACCTCCTGATGGCGTCATGAGGCCGGCGCGGGTCGGACGGCGAGCTTCTTCGGCCTGGTGCTGCCGCGGCTCGGGCGGAGTCCCTGGGAGGAGCTTGAGCCGACAAAGATCGACCCGCCGGCTTCCCGTCGTCCGGGAGCGGCCTCTCTCTCTCCGCCAGAGGCTTCACCTCCTTCCTGTCCGGCGGCAGAGAAGGAGACGAGGAAGAGGAGGAGCTGGAGCTGGACGAGGAGGAGGAAGAGGACGACCTTTGGGGCGGGGAGGCGACCTTTGGAGGGGGTCTCTCTGGCTGCCGGCCCCTCTCTCGCTCCCTCTGCCTGTCTGTGGAGGGCGAGCGACTGGCCCGCCGCCGCTGCTGAGGAGACGGAGACCGGCGGAACCTGGAGGCAGAAACGGCAACGTTTCAACATTTCAGGGCGTTGATAAAAAACTAATCTGTTCTTTTCTAAGCTGTGTGACGGACAAACAGGCTGATTTCCTCCATGTCAGTCAAAACGACATCAGTGACTCTCTTCCTACGCAGGAAGGAAACGGCCACAAAACATGAAATATCTTCATTACCTTCATCAGTGCTACGCTCAAATTAAGTTCTCTGAATGTCAATATGTGGATAAAATCTCTAAGGAGGGAATTTAATCCATTAATTTAGAAGAATTTAAATAATCCATAAATTAACAAACGTTAGACTTTGGAACAGTTCTGGGTTCACTTCTGCTAATCAGCTAATAGCAGAGCTAATCTTTCTTTTAGTGATTTAGCGATTTTGCTGACTTTGAAAATGTTTATGTTGTAACAATTCAATTCAAAAATATTTTTTTTGATCCCAAAGGGAAATTAATTGTTGATGTTTTACATTAAATATCTGTGTTTTACACCGACTGGTTTTATTTTTCACATTCGGTTTAGTAACTGAGCCAGGTGAAGGTCGCTGTCATGACAAGCGTACGCCAGCAGGTGTCACTGTTAGCATTCCAGCTAAATACCCTGAAACTCTGATGGTGGAACAGAAAACACATGAACATCTGAGTTCATGTAGAAAAACTGTTCCCTTCTGAAGGTCATTACATTATTTTCCTTTGAGTGTTTATTCAGGAATATCACAGATAAGAAGTGTTGTTTTCCTTAAATTTGGAGGTGAACCACTCTCTACCTTTTGGTGAACATAAACACCAAAAGGTAGATGTCTGTTAATGGAAACATTACAGTGGCTTAATAGCCTATAAAACCAGGTTATAATCTGCTTCATCAAAGTGAAGACAGCAGGTAAGACACATGTGGGGTGTCTCAGGGTTCAGTCCTGGGACCCCTCCTATTTAAATCTATATGCTCCCACCGGTTCAGGTTAAACCAGGAAATAAGAATAGTTACCATGACTACGCAGATGATGCACAGCTCTACAACCCACCCAGTCACTGATCAGATGCTTGGAACAGATAAATGTGTATGAACGTTTCCTTTTAAGCTTGTATTGTTGACGGCATGTTCATAACTTTACTCGCATTACCTGCTGGGGGGACTTGGCCGTCTGAGGATTCTTGACGTGGATCTAGTGCGTCTCCTTGGACTTTTAGGCCTAGATATAGGCCTGGACCCACTGCGTCGTCTTGGGCTTCTGGGCCTAGAACCGCTACGGCGTCTCAGATTTCTCAGCCTGGACCCACTACGCCGCCTCGGACTTCTGGGTCTAGAACCACTGCGTCTTCTCGGAGGACTTCTGGGCCTAGAGCCGTAGCGTCGTCTCGGAGGACTTCTGGGCCTAGATCCACTACGTCTTCTCAGAGGACTTCTGGGCCTAGATCCGCTGCGTCTTCTCAGAGGACTTCTGGGCCTAGATCCGCTGCGTCTTCTCGGAGGACTTCTGGACCGGCTCCTTCTGACTATTCTGTCCCATTCTCGTCCCTTGTCCCTGTCACGGTCTGATGGGAACGGAGGCGGTGACGGTCTTCTGGACCGGGACGGGGGTTCCTGATACTGCCTTGGAGGAGTGCGGGCGGCTGGTGGGATGGTAGCGGTCCTCTGGGCTGGAGAGCGGGGGCTCCTGGCGTTGGGGCTGGCCCTTGTGGTCCTCTTGGAGGCGTCCTTGTCCTTCGCCCTGTCCCCAGCTCTGGCCTCAGGCGGAGAGAACTTCCTGCCTCGGCTGTTTTCGGGTCTTCTGGGTGGGGAGGGAGACGGACTCCGGCTTTCCACCTGCGTGGGGCTGTACCGCTCTTGTCCTTTAGCTTGAGACGGGCGATCCTGGGCGGGATCTCTGAGCGGTGGTCTTTCACGCTCGGGTTTGTCCGGTCCAGGTTCTCGGTGGGGACGCCTGGGTCCGTCGCCTTCAGAACCAGCGGCGTTTTCTTTCCTCCCATTGGCCAGAAACCTTTCAACAGCAGCTCCGATGGCCGACGGCGCACTTTTCCTATGAATGCTTCTATCTTGTTCTGGTGATGCAGTTTTATCTGCGTTATCCTCGTCCTCAGAGGAAGATGAAGAGGAGGAGGAGGAGGACGAAGAGGAGGATGAGGAGCTGTCACTGTCACTATCGCTGCTGCTGCTGCTACTGCTGCTGCTTTCTGTTTGTTTCAGCTTCTCCTCCCGTCTGTTCTCTCTCACTGGGCTCCTCTGCTTCTCCGGAGGTCTGGACCCGTCCCCTCTGCCGTCGGCAGTCGGCCCGCCGTCTTTCCTACGCTTCTCAACACTTTCTTCCTTTTGCTTATTCAAATGCCTGTCTGTCGATCGTTCTTTGTGCGTTTCTTGTCTCCTCTCAATCTGGCTTCCATTGGTGCAGGATGGGGACAAAGTTGGCGATGGGAAATCTCGGGCGCCTGTCATCCTGTCTCCTCTCTGTTGGCGAGGAGACGGTTGTCTCTCTCTATCCTGCCGCTGAGCTTCACCTTTCTTGACGTCCCTTTCATTTCGTCCCCGTGTCTTTGACTGAATGTCCTTCTCACTTGTACGTTCTTTATCTCCACTCCTTCCTCTTCGGGCCCGTTCCTTTTCAGGAGGAGGAGACGGAGATGAAGAGTCATGTCTCGTCGTTCTGTGTTTGTTCCCGTCTTTTTCCCGCTCAGGGACCCTGCTTCTTTCGCCCCTTGTTTCCTGCTGAGGAGGAGGAGGAGTAGGAGAACAGGAAGACGAAGAGGAGGGCTCCCGTCTGATCCTCTGAGGTACTTTCTCCTTCTCTGTGTTTCTGATTTCTCGACTCTTTGACCGCCTCCCCTTCTCATTGTTTCTAGATTGATCTCTTTTGTCCACCTCTACGCTCCTGGAGCGCCTCCTCTTCTCCATCTCTACGCTCCTGGAGCGCCTCCTCTTCTCCATCTCTACGCTCCTGGAGCGCCTCCTCTTCTCCACCTCTACGCTCCTGGAGCGCCTCCTCTTCTCCGTCTCCTGATTCCTGGAGTGCTGTCTTGAGTCCATGTCCATGCTCCTGGTCTGCCCTTTTTCTCGCTCCCTTTGTTTGCTTCTAGATTTTCTTGCTCTCCCCCGATCAACATTTCTGTCTTTCTCTGGAGACGGAGAGGGGGACGAGGAGTCATGTCTCCTTTTGGTCTTCTCCGTCTCCCGGCGTTGCTCTTTCTCCCTCTCAGGATTGGGCCTCCTCTGCATGACAAGGGAAAACATGTTTGAAATCGTCCTTTAGACATTCTCACTCTAAATCACAACGGTACAGTTTTCAATAAGGATGCGTTCACTCTGTAATGGTTCGGCTGTGAGGAGTGAATGCTAAGCTAACTCTGGTCCTCCAAACCTCGGTCTGTTTTCGGTTGAAGTGAACTCTGGTTCGGTTTGTATGTGAACACCAAGCAAACTGGAGACTGCTCCAAAAGCAGGAAGTGGACCACAGAGCAGGGCAATCTGGGTAAATACAACCAAAACAAACACACTAGCCTAGTGCTAGCGGGAAAAGAGACAAAAGAGAAATCCTCCAACCGCTAAAATCTGATGCCTCTAGTTTTGCTTCCATTTTGTGAAGTTGGGTTCAGTGTGTTTTTTTAGAGGTTTTGGTGTCGTTTCCTTCAATAGTCCTTGTTGCAGCGCCCCTACAGGTGAGGAGGGGAACAGGTTGACAAAAAGGGTTTGGTTCGTTTGACTCAGTGCAGTGTGAAAGAGAACTGCACCACCTGAAAATACAGCAAATGTTGTAATTTTGGTCCTGAGTCAAACTGAGTCTACTGGACAATCAGGTGTGAAAACACCCTAAATCTGTCCGCGCTGAATGTAAAAGATAAAAGCTGATTACCCTGACCCTTTCATACAACCCTGAATCTTGAGGATGGCGTTTTCAGGGGAAAACGTACTAAACATTTCTACTCTGAATGTTACTCTAAACCTTATTTCCTTTAGTCAGGAAGCTAGTAAGTACTAGTAAGCTAGTAACACAGAAACGCTGAGTGGAGACGGAGGTATTTCTGGGGGATGAAGGTTCGGGTAGCATAATGGAGAGTTGTTAATGAATCGGTGAACTCTCACCCCGTCGCCCGCCCGACGCTGTGGGCTGCGCTCCTCAGAGCCACGGCGCCTCCTGTCTGGCGACCGCCCCTTTCTGCCTTCTGTGGTTTTTGCGGTTTGGTCCTTTGGATGCGATCTGGATGGAGGTGGAGATCTGCTGCTGTGAACAACAGGAACAAAATGAAACATCAGCTTCTGCCTGTGATTCTGGAAGTTTATAGTACTGGATAAAAGTAAATTATTTTTATTTAAATGGAGTCAGGCTCCCTCACAATCTTAAAAAATTATTGAAATGTTTACAAAATCTTAATTTATTCCAACAAATTTAATTATCCAAAAAACAAATTTATCGATGGATTTATAGATTTATTAAACACTGATATGTTTAAGCCCTTATTTCTGCTAAATGCTTACTATAGCTTTGAGGTAAATCAGTTTCTTATTAAATATTGTAATTTTAGAGTAACTTAACAGCCACAAATGTATCACTAATAATAATACACCTTGAACAGATTTAGTGAAATAAATCAACTTTTCAATAAATTTCTAATTAATTGCGACAGCATCTGTTGTTGTCCAGGCTTTCCGAATGTCTTATACATCAATTCAAAATCAAAAATGCTTTATTCGCCTACAAGGTAAATTAAATCTTGTTGTAACGTTAATTAAATCAAAATAAGTGTTCAATATTTAAATCTCCAAGCAGAATTAAAGATGTGTCAACCAAAGGATTTAGTTTTAAACGGCTCAGAGATCTGATAAGAGTTGTGATCATAATCGTGGTTCTGGATGTTGAGCAGCTGGAAATATCTTTTTCTTCATACCTCTGATTCGTAACCATGGCAACAAGCTATTATTTTCATAACTGCTGATTACCATCTCAGAAACCCAAATAACTGCTGAACTACGACCACAGACGGCTAAATAAAGTTTTTCTGAGCTGAATATGAAGATAACAGCGATGAAGGGCGCTCGGTTCAGACCTGTGATCTGAACTCGAGGAGACGCTTCTGCGCCGACCCGACTTCGATTTCGGAGGACTGGAACTTCCACTCCTTCTTTTCTTCGACACTTTCTGCTTCTCATCTGAGGAACTAAACACAAAGGATGGAAACATTAGAAATCAGTCCACAGATGAGCTCAGAAGACGTTTAAAAAGAGTTGAACAGCAGCTACCTGTCGTCTTCGTCCTCTGATGCCTCCCTGAAACAGAATCACATGAAGCATCAACATGAATATAAGCACAGCAGGAGAGACGTTTTGTTTAAAGGAGGACAATGGAGTTGTACCGTTTCTTTTTCTTCTTTTTGGATTTCTTCTTCTCTTTGCGAGGAGATGAGGACGAACTCTCTGAGCTGCTTCAAAGTCAAACCAGTAAAATCTCAGATGGATCCTCATAATTCTGTCCTTCCTTCTTAACAAATCAGCATCATTTCCTCACCTTTCTCTGTTCTTGTTTTTCTTTTTCTTCTTCCGGCTGCGCTTCTTGGGAGGAGAATCTGAGTCATCTGAATCTTCCACCAAGCTGCCACACAGAGAGACATTATAAACGGCGACTCCTTCAGCAGTGAAATAAATTCACACTGGCTGCGTTTCCATCGACATTTTGACAATAAGTTTCCTCAATAGAAACATGGAAATTTAGAAAAAAAACTCTTGTTTTTTGATCAAACGTTTTGGCGCTGGATGAGGTGTTTGTTTGGCCGTATCAAAATTAGTTTATCTTGCAAAACTGCAATGGAAAGATTTTTTGCCTCATGATCAACAAGTAGTTGGAGGATGATGGTATGACATGTTTTTTACTGACTTATCACATGAACAAACTAATTCACATGTGATTTTAATTGAGTTTTTCTGACATTAGCGGAATATTAGAGTTTGTGGACATTAGTAACAGAAATGCTGCAACATTGTGAGTGCTCCTGCTCACATGTATTTCTGCTGCTGCAGTTTCTCCCGCTCCAGACGTTCCTGCTCCCGCTTCTCTTTCTCCTTTTCCTTGCGGTCAGCGTGGAAGGACGACCCGTCCACGTAGTCGCTGGAGATGCCGAAAGCGGCACGAAGACGGTCGTTCTTCTGCTGGTTGGCTGCAGCCAGGGCGTGTGTTTCTGTCACACTGGAAGGACAAGAAATCAGTCAGTAAAAGAACAAATCAGAATCTGTATCTGTGCAGCAAAAAACTCTCATTTGATATTGTTGTTATTGCCAAAATGTCACAGTTTCTTCTTAATATATTAGAAAACATTCTGATTCCATCTAATGAAAGACTACGAGTCCATTATTCTTTTGGAAAAATATATTATTGTTATTAAGCCAAACATATTTTAGAATTACAGTCTAAAAGTTAAACCATTTCATCTGAGCAGAAAACATTGTTTTAGGGAGACTCTAGCTGGACTTGGAGGTTTTTCTTGTTATTTTCCTTCAGGTTCCTACAGAGATGGCTTCCAACATGAACACAGCCTGTGCATGACGCATGCTTTAGTTTTGTGCTCACGTTGGTTTCTGAGCGGCAGCGGGAGGCGGCTCCTCCTTCTCCTGCAGCATCATGCGGAAACTGTTCACCTTCTCCTCGATCTCCTCGGCCGAATATCTGAGCAAGAGAAGAAACAGCAGTCAGATCGTCAGTATACAGAACAAGAATTAAATTTTTTACATTTCAAATCACAAATCTAAAAAGACTTGCTTTTTTAAAGATCAAATTAGAGCAATAAATAGAAAAGCAGGAAATATTGCTAAAAATCGTCAGTAAAAGCTTTTTTCTTCACCCTTGCTCCTCCATCATGTCCTGCAGCTCAGCGCATTTGACCTCCAGCTGCCTCTTGCGCTGGTGCTCCAGGATGTCGGCGTTGGGCTGCCGGTTCAGCTGACTCTCCAGCCGCTCGCGGTCCTTCTCGTCGCGCTCGCCTCCGCGCTCGTCTCGGGGCCTTTTGACCCGCAGGCTCGACAGGTTGCGCTGCACGTAGCCATTGGTGCCGCTGCCCCGAGGAGTCGTCAGGCCAATACCATTGTACATGGCTCTGGAAGGATCAAACGTTATGATTGAACCGATAATGCTGTAAGCATTCAGACAGAAAGTTATTCATTTTTAAATCTACTCACACTCTTCTCTAGTGAAATAACAATACATGACTGTAATAAAGGGTATAAATCAGCTTGTTTGGTTTTAATCTGTCATCAGAACAAACTGGTCCAAACAGGGATTAAAAATATGATGTTAGTCTCTTTAAGTACCCAAATACAAGAATTCAACTTGTGTGACATGTGAGATGATTAATTAGCAAGGTCAAAGTCTGGGTCCAATCAAAACTAAAAGATAAGTTCTGAAATGCCAGAAAAATTTGTGATAATTGTGACTATTATTTAATTTGAATGATGAGTAGTTTTTGTTGCCGTTTTTAGTTATAAAAATACCAAATTCTCTACCAAAACTGACACTGATTGGCTAAATGAAATAAGCCAATCAGTTTTACGCTACAAGTAAAACGACATTTAATCCAACCAAACAAAAAGGCAGCACATTCACCAAGGAATGTGTCTGATGAAGGAGCCACTGATGTTTTTTAAAATAAGTAATTTTTGTGTCTGTCACTGGTTTAATTCAGTAGTTTATGTTTTAATCTTCACACAATTTAAAAAAAAAAGATTCATCTCCCTGGCAGATTTAAGGTGATATTTTAATCTTACCAACATCTTAAATGTCTAGAAACAATATTAGTGTCTTATTGCGGTCCGGCCAGAGTCCTGATTAGTTTCTGATCCAGGAAGTAAAGATTAGGGTGAAGTTTTCCAGAATCAGAGATTTATGATTTGCTGTAAACGATGCGTCATCAAAAATACAAGGGGAAAAATACAAAATCCATTTAAGAAATTACTAAAAGGCCTTTGATTGTTGTAATAAAAATAAATGCTTTTTCATTCATTATTAAAAAAAACCACATTTTTAAAATGTAAATTAAAAACAGCTTTTCCTACAGAAATAGCATCCCTTTTATATAGTCTTAATATCTTTTTGGAGATGTACGTTTCATTTTTAATCAGAAACAAACTCATTGATACAATAAAAGTGTCTTAAAATTTAATTCTGAGTCAGACTGTACATAATCCAAGTATAATTTTTAAAAATTACACTTATTTTTTTGTTCTGTCAGATAAGATAATTTACTTTGATTTCTGAAAATGTTGCTAACAAACCTATTATCATCACAGCTTGTGTTTAAGGTTTTTCCTAATCCTATACTATATTTGTATTAAAATAATCACCTCACATCACATTTATTGATCCCCATCAGTTCCACCAAAAAAGTTCCACCAAATTTTTCCAAGGGCCACATTTTGTTTTCCCAGCAAACAAAATTGTTAAAAGAAATCTGATATTTTACGAATGATTAACAATGTTGTCTTTAACGCAGACCACTATGATACACAGTGCCCAGACATTCAACAGTGTAATTGTCCTTCATAAACTGCAGTTGAAAGGTTTCTGCTCCTCATAAAGGAACACCTCCACCAATCCAGAACACAATAATTCCGGGAGACATTTTGTTGACAGCTTCTTTCTTCGATCTGGGCCTCCAGATAGTAAAATGCTGAGGATATTTCAGTCTTTCTGGCCTTTTTTAAAACGAACACTGTCACCATAAATTTATATTTTTGGTCAGAAAAAACGGTTATATTTGTCGCGCTTTGGCACGTGCGTCAAATTAGGCCCGTCGAAGCTAGTTTTCATGAACGTTAATAAAAATCATGAGAATCCAAATAAAATCGACATTTAACTCATCATATATATTATCCTTAACGAATGATTGTCTAGACAGTTAATTAACTATTACGTTTAGGATATATTTAGCTCTGTTAAGAAAGAGGCCTTCTTATTACCAGCTAAGCTAGCTAACGTAATCATTACGTACCAGCAATCTTTCTCCAGGAGAAACCTTAGCAAGATGGCTCGTTAAAGAGTCTGGTATTTGATAACTTCCCGTAGAGCCACTCAGCAACACTAATCTTAACGACAACCGTTTGAGTAAAAGTGTGGCAAAATAAAAGAAATGCTGCTAGCTTCAGCTAACAGGTTCGCTTTGCAACTACAGGATGAAATCCGTCTACGTCACACGTATGTTCGCACGTTTAAACTGCGGCGTTCAGGTACTGGAGGAAAGGAGAGCTCTTCTCTTGTTTGTAATTTAAAAAATAATGATTGATGCAACAAATTTTCTCAATATTCAACTTGATCAATAACCCTGATGAATAGGCTGTGCCAGAGGTCTTGTTGAAATATGAGATTATATATACGATCTTAAGAGTCAATATCACCTATATACTATGTATAACAAAGAACTTGTTTAATCTTAATTAATATTATTACATTATTATTACTAATTTGAAAAAATAATTAATTTATACCAGGGAAAATACATTTTATCATGACTCTTATCTAAGTATCATCAAAGAGTTGTTGTGGATGGTGATGCTGTGAGCACTAGATAGTAAGGATTTTCAATAGCAGTCAGTCTGGCCTCTGACTGAATACTGTTGCTGCATGACAGTTTCATAACTGTCATGACATGCTAACAGCTCGATATCTGGGCAGCAGGGGTGATATTCCACTGTAGCATATTTTGGATTTCACCATAATTTGTTGGCAACCGGTCCTCTTTAAATCTCTCTCTCACCATACGGTTAGAAAGATGGATGGAAGGAAGAGATGGTTTCAACTTCCTCCTTCTCTCTGCTCTTTGGTCCTACTCTACATCCAGAAAGCCTTCTTTTCAACTCTGGGATTTGGGGTCATAGTTCATTACTATTTGAGCTTATGGGATCCTAATCAGCTGCACAAAGTTGTAAACTACATGATAATATGTCATAACAACTGTCTAAGAGTGAGAAAGTAACTGCAAATATTCTTTCAGTTGCACAGCATCCAGAGCCAGAGAGAATAATTGTCCAAACATGCAACACATCAATCAAAAACTATGAACAAAATTCTTCAGAACTAACATAACAACGCTTCGCCAAACTGCTGCCCCCATAAGCGGCACAATTACAATTTTATCTCACAAAAACTAAGCAGTGTATCATAATTATTAGGTAAATATATTTTATTTTCCATCTAATTGTCAGAAAAGCAATTTATATATGTATATATAAAAAATGTGGTTGTAGTTCAAAAAAAGTTTTACATGCGAAAGAACCACGGTTGATCTTGTTTCCTGGATTTAGACCAGTAAAACTTCATATCCCAGAATGCACCAAGAGGAGGGTGTGACGCAGTCAAATAAAAATTCCCTGCGTCAGTCGTCGACCGTTAGAGACGCTGCAGTAGCAGGTGGAGGGTGTTGTAATCTGTCGTCCTGCGGGTCGTTTCTCTGGAAAAGAACCTGATTAAGTTAAGCTCACAGAACCGAACCGAACCCTTCAGTGAAAATGGCTGAAAGCGACAACAAAAGCGCAAATCTTTTAGTAAGTATGATGGGCCTTTTTTTTTAAGATCGGCTCTGATTGATCTGGGAGCGTTAGCATAGTTAGCCGAAGCTACTGCTAATCTCTGTTCTCCCGCTGCGGAGGCTGGTGGTGAGTTTGTGCAACTGGTTTGAATTATGACACAGTTTTTTTAGAGACACTTAAATAAACATTAGACTCTAATCATTATCTTTAAGCTACCCACCACATCGCTTCCGCGGGTTTTGGCCGCAGCTAGCGTGAGGAAGCTCGGAGGGTTTATCTTCAGCGCGTTCATCCTCTCGGAAACGTTACAGATTCAGTTTGACGACCTTTGTCTCGGTTTGATCGGTTCAAATCAGATTGGTTTAGTTTGTTCAGACATCATTTCCCCGGTTTGATTTCTGCTACGTCTTGTGAAAGATTTTTTTTTTCATATATAGCTGCTTATCTTTGTGAAGGCCCTCACATCCAGGAGCACCAACTTAAAAACAGCTCTAACCCCCATTTAGTACTAATCAGTTTAGTCGTACACCATTTTTATTTAATTTAATAAATTAATTAAAAAGCCATGTTTAACTGTTTTTAAATATTATGCCTGGATTTTTAGTAGGCTGTTTTTATAATATTCCTATAGCTTAATTTAAGAAAATTATTTTCCATCTAATTGCTTTGTTTCAAGAAGGATTCCTTTAGCGTATCCTTAATGGGTGCAAGACCAGGGTAGAACTGAACAAAGATCTGGAGACTGCAATAAGACCTTGGTTCCAATAAGTAGCAGATGAACCTGCACATTTTCCTGAGTGGTCTATGTAATCCCTGACCTATGACCCCAATCTAGGAGAAGTTGAAAAGGAGGCTTCATGGATGCAGAGAGAGAAGGAGGAAGTTCAATCTCTTTAATTACTCCCAATAGAGAAGGATCATATGCTCTGTGGCCAGACTGAGGTTTAAAGTGTCAAAAGAAATGAGGTGGATGAGCAGAGCTGCTTAAAACTGATGGAGTCAGGTATTATTGAGCTGAATAAAACTGTTTGTAAGCTAAACTGAGCTTATCATTGTAACTCTGAGCATGGCTTTCTGTCGAAAATTGGATTGAAATTTGTTAGATGATTTATTTATTTTTTTCCCTGAATGCAGCTTACAGAGGATCATTTAAATAGGTCAGGAGTCTGTTAGCAACTGGAGGAAGGTTGAAGGTTTGGCTGAATAAAACCATTTAAAGACTGATGTTATTTAGTAATTCAAAAGGTGGAAATAATTTTGTAGAGCGGGGTTTCCCAACCTTGGTCCCAGGAATGCCGCCCTGCGTGATGAAGAGCGTTCTCTGCTGTAACACACCTGATTCAGACGAAGGAAATGCAGCAGCAGCCGGTTGATCAGGTGAAATCAGGTGTGCTGACTCAAGGAAACGCCTAAAACATGCAGCGATGGGACGTTCCTGTCATTTAATGCAGAGATGCATTTCCTACATTTAGTTGTTTTGTTTCATGGAAAAGAAAATGTAACTTACATCAAACCAATAAAAGAGGGAAAATTTTCCTGTTTGATCAGGAACACAAAGAGCCAGAAAGTTGAGTGGAAGGAAAAAGGTTCACAAGCAGCAGGATTAAGTGGTTGACTGGTTCTGGCCCACGTCTCTGCGATAAAATCCTGCGGTATTAAGTTTAGATTAATGGAATAAATGTTTTAATTTGAGTTGAACCTGAATTGCATGTTACTAAAGTTCAGTGTGTATGTGTGTGTGTGCGCGCGCGCGCGCAGGCTCAGGAAACGGCCCAGCTGGAGGAGCAGCTCCAGGGCTGGAGGGAGGTGATCCTAGCCGGAGATCGGGTTCTGCGCTGGGAGAAGCCCTGGTTCCCTGGAGCTCTGGTTGGTGTGACCACCGTGGTTTTCCTGTGAGTCCGCTTCACATCGCAGCGTTACCCAGACGACGTTAACAAGTCTTAAACTATCTGAATGCGAATGTTACATGACTAAATGGTCTATAATTTCTCAGTTTTACACTTGGAGATGTTTAAACCCGTATAAATGTTTGTACATCCTGCCTGCATGGCGTCTGCTTGTCTCACTGTGTTCTGAGTTTAAACAGCTCCGATTTGGTTTAGTTTAGGTTTTTGTTTCCGTTTCCATCATTTTTTAACTAACTGCACAGTTAGAGGTCCACCTTTGTGTGTAAGCAGAGCAGGCATCTAAAAATGTCTGTCATCCTGTCTGCTACACAGAGAGAATGTTTTGGTTGTAAAATGTTTTTGCGTTTGCTTCCTTTGAGCTGCTGACTGATTCTGACTTTGCTCTTTTTAGTTCCTGCTTCTGGTTTCTCAGCTGAACTGAAGAAAATGTAAAGTTCTTGTTTAAAGGAGTGTCATTTATTCCAGGCTGGGCTTGATCTTCAGTTTCCTTCATTTATCAGTTTATTTAACAAGAAGTTCCTGTTTTATTCTCTGAGTTTGATCATCAGCAGCAGATCAATAACAGGAAGCTGAAGCGTCGACTCCATTAGCGCCCTTCAGGCTGAGCCGCCTGATGACGACTTCCTGTTTGCTCTGCAGGCTGATTTACTACCTGGACCCGTCGGTGCTGACTGGACTGTCCTGCGCCGTCATGCTGCTCTGCCTGGCTGATTACTTTGTTCCCACCGTCGCTCTCAAAGTGTTCGGCTCCAATAAGTGGTAAGAGCTCACGCTGCTTCCCAACCAGAGGACATTTTGTTCTCTAGAAGTTTCCTCACTTTCGGATTTAAATGTTCTAGCCTGTAAAAAACTGGGTCAAAGTCCTCATAAAAGCACCAGTAAGAAAGCTGAAGTTCAGAATTGTTGATTTTAGTTTCAGTTCTGCTGCGTTTACTGCTGTGACCTTAAAGCAGCCCACAGTCTCCCTGGGCTTTGACTAGACTCCAGCTGGGTGGCGGTGTGTATTAACGGCTGAAAACAAGACGACCGACTCAGGATAGAGTTTCATTCTGCTGGACCTTCATCTTCCAGCTGTCGTCCCGAGCCTGATGATCCTCTTAATCAATCAAACTTGTTGCTATAGCAACAGAAATGAACACTGGAAGTAAAAGACTGTAATCTGACTGTTAATAAAAACCCAAGATCCAGTTTATTAGAAAATTAGAATAAAAGCTAATTAAACGTGGGGCGACTGAATGGTACTGATGCGTACTGTTTAGTGCTTTCATTGGTCTGGGCTCCTTTTGCATGAATTACTGCATCAATGTGGCAATAAATAAATTTCACACATGCTCATCTTTTTATCATGTTTTCCTTCCACTACACCACGTGTCAAACTCGAGGCCCGCCGTAGCTCTCTGTTGTTTTCATGATTTTGCAACAAAGTTAAAGTCACACAAAATAGACAGATCCTTGCAGTCTGATGTGAAACTGAGTTGATTGCAAATTTTCAGCAAAAATTGTGAAAAACATTGGGTGTAAGTGATGCCAACTCCCACCTGCAGGTGGCAGTATCTCTTCCTGCTGCTGACTTGATGTCGTTATAATCGATGATCGATACAAAAAGTCACATTTACTGTCAGAGGTGCAAATATTTCTAAATTAGCTTCACAAAATCTGTAACTTTTGTGAAGTTACACAAGTTTGAGTTGCTTTGATAAACTTCTGATGATGGAGTGAAACGCGGAGCTGCAGCGGCGGGTCGCGGGGAAGACGAGCCGCCGGCCCGGTTCTGGTT